AGACCAATGTCACAGCACATTTCTTTAATGTTTTTCCCTAGTAGTTTTATAATTTCAGGTTTTAGGTTTAGGTTTTTAACCCACTTTGAGTTTATTTTTGTACATGGTGTAAGGGTAAAGGTCTAATTTCATTCTTCTTTTTTTGTGTATGTGTGTGAGACAGAGTCTCGCTTTGTCACCCAGGCTGGAGGGCAGTGGTACAATATTGGATCACGGCAACCTCTGCCTTCCAGGTTCAAGCTATTCTCCTGTTCTCAGCTTCCTGAGAAATTTCCTCAGTTTTACCCTTATGCTCCTCTCTTGTATTAGTCAAATAAGACCCAGAATCATTTCTAATAAAATGCTAATCATGTCAAATGTCCCTCTGAAATACTTCAGTGGCTTACCCTTAGTCTTAAGATGAGAAACTGAAACTGCTAACCAAGACCTACAAGGCTCCACATGGACTTGTCTTTCCTTATCTTCCGGACTCCTCACACACTATTTGCCCCCCTTACACTCCTCTCTCCACCCACTTCTGTTTTTAGGCCCTTGAATTTGCCAGGCTCCTTCATGCCACAGAGCATTTGCAATAGTGTTCCCTCTGCCCAGAACACACCTAACCCCAACTTCCCATGTGGCTACCTCTTCTTCCTTCGGATATCAGCTCAATTATAATCATCAGGGGAAATTTCCTGTTTTTCTTTGACAGTCAAATTTTGCATTTGTTTGTAGGCTTATTTAATAATGTTGTTGTTTTTTTAACCTAACCTTCAAACTCTAAGAGCATAGGGTCCTGTCATTTTTGGTCATCATTTTGTCCCTAATAAACACCAAATTGCCTCAGACATAAAATAGGAACTCAGTAAATAATTAAATAAATAGATAAATAAATAAGTGAAGAAGAGGCACAGAAAGCTTAAGTATCTTACCCAGGGTCACACAGCCAGTAATTAATAGAGCTGGGCCTGAAACAGGTAGTTCAGCTGCTGAGACCACACTTTTAATGACCACATGTTTATTTGTTTATTTACTTAATATTCTTTGTTCTTTTTTGTTTTCCAAAAGAGATTTAAAGGAGCTTAAAAAAAGTTCAGCAGGAAAACTAATTAGAAATAGGTGAGTAAAAGAAAAGGAGACAAGCCGGGCACGGTGGCTCATGCCTATAATCCCAGCATTTAGGGGTCTGAGGTTGGTGGAATGCCTGAGATCAGGAGTTCAAGACCAGTCTGGCCAACATGGTAAAACCCTGTATCTACTAAAAATACAAAAATTAGCTGGGCGTGGTGGCACACCTGTAGTCCCAGCTACTTGGGATGCTGAGGCAGGAGAATCACTTGAACCCAGGAGTCAGAGGTTGCAGTGAGCCTAGATTGTGCCACTGCACTCCAGCCTGGTGACACAGTGAGACTCTATTTCAAAAAAAAAAAAAAAAAAAAAAAAAAAAGAAACCAGGAATAGGTCCATAAAATACAATCAAGGTGACAGCATTTAGAAGAGATCCTTGAAATTTTCTGCCTAGGCTTACAAATGCTAATCTCACATTTAACATTTTATGTACATAGTTACTACACCATGCTAAATGGATCTGGTCAAACTAGGGAAAAAAAAAGAAAAACTAAGGATACTGAAACAGAAATAATGCAACCATTTCCTGTGAATGCGTGTTAGCCTTCCCCCCCAAAAAAATGCCCTTTAAAGTTTAGCAGAAATTTTAATTCAATTGAGAGACCGATTAACTAGTCTGAAACCTGGCTGTGGTCTGTGTACCAATTTCCATTTTTTTCTGTGAACGTCAGATTACAATACTTTCCCACTGAATTAAAGTAGAGTTAACAATTTAAAATGTTTTTATTTCAGGGTGATTCTGGTGGACCTCTGGTTTATGATAATCATGACATCTGGTACATTGTAGGTATAGTAAGTTGGGGACAATCATGTGCTCTTCCCAAAAAACCTGGGGTCTACACCAGAGTGACTAAGTATCGAGACTGGATTGCCTCAAAGACTGGTATGTAGTGTGGATTGTCCATGAGTTGTACACATGGCACACGGAGCTGAAACTCCTGCACATTTTGTATTATTTATATTTATGTAGTTTGGATTAGTGCTTTTGGTTGCTGTCAAGAAACCCTTCAGACCCAGACAAATCTAATATCTTGAGGTGGCCTTTACGTACGTAAGACCAAACTCTGTCTACCATGAGGGAAGAAGACAGCAAATGACAGACAGCGCCTATTCCTTACTCACAAGGGAAGCTGCTTGTATTACCTCCTAATAAGATAAATAAGTGGTTTCCCTCAATCGAAGACGGGAACATCATTTTCCACAGGATATGAAGAGCTGCCAGTGCTGCCAAAATTATACCTCATATAATACCTGGAGCACCTGAGATTCTTCCTTGTGAAAAAAGCGGTCTGCCTTGAAGACTCAGAACTTCAACATTCTAGAACTAATAAGTGCACATTCAGTGTGCAAGAATGGAGAAGCGTGGGATTTGCAATATAACTTGAACTCTAACCTGGGCTTATATCTAATAATACAGAGGACTATCATTAACCTCAAGAGTTGACATTTTAAAAGTATTTAAATGTATCTGAACTTGCTGTTAACACAGTGTTATATACTCAAGCACTAGCTTCGGGAAGTATATTGTGTTGTTAAGAAGCATTTCTGATTTATTCTTTAACGGCATCTTGCCATCCATATGTTAGTTGCAGTCAGCCCAGAAAGGGGGGAAGAAACTTGAGAGCATTTTTCCATGAGTACAAGGAGGATAATAGAAGTGGATGAAGGCTAGGAGAGTTGGTTTCAAATAATTAGTAACAGGACAAGCACTCTAATTTTTTATGAAATGAGCCACCTAATTATTTACTTAGAAATATTTATATCAGTATATGGCAACTGGTACTTTTGAAAGTCTTCAGCTCGCTGACAAGTCAGACATCTGTCAGAGTATCAGGTCAGCTGTCTATCAGAATATCAGAGCTGATTTGTGTAAAGCTTTGTGTGAAGCACTTAGGACAGTGCCTGACATACTATGCGCTGAATAAATCATTGTTACATGGAAATGAATGCCTTGGCAAGCTTTGAGATAAATGACCTCAATTTTCTCAGATAAGTACTACATACAGCTCAAATCCTAATGATGGTAGTAGTGGTAGAAAGCACGGGCTTTGAACCAGTCTGCTCAAGCTGGAACATTGTCTCTGCCTCATACGAGCCTTGTGTCCTTGCTCAAGTTACTTAACATCTCTCTTCATTAACTCTTTCACCTCTACAATGGGAATAAAAGTGGCACTACCTCATATAGTTATTCTGAGAATTAAATGAATTAAAACAAGTAAAACACTTGCAATAGTGTCTGCACACAGTAGGTTCTCAATATGGATTAGCTACTATTTATCATTAATAATGTGTTTTAGAATCAATAAAACTTACCATACTGCTAAAAAATTAATCCTTGCTTCTTTAAAGCCATGTAATTGATTTCAAAGTACTTTTAATTACATGGTAAAACAAATTTGGTGAGCTACTATTTTTTCAAAATCACTTTTAGGTCTCAATATATTTTGAACTATGTCTGCTTATAGACAAGTAGTCATCGGATGTGACCATCATCTGTCAGCATGGTTGTGACTACACAGATGCATCCATATTCATCTATAGACCTTAAATATGAGATTAGATTTGCTGCTCTGATTTATTAGAGAAAAATCTAGACTATTCATTTCCCTAGTGTTGGAACATTTTGTTAGTTTACATGTACATGTGTTTATATGTAATATATATAAATGAAAGAAATACAACTAAAAATATCTCCCAGTTATTATTTATATCTCAGTAAGATATAAACACAAAAAGCTTATCATGCACATTTCCTCTTTAAAAACAAAATGTCATCAAATTTCTGAGTCGATGACTAGTAGTAATAACTAAATACCACCGCAGAAAGCCGAGTAAAAAATTAAATTCTTAGTTTCCTTCCCTTAAACTCCTATAGTTTGCATATAGTACAGAAACTTTTAAAGTTTTCAAGAATATTTAGCATATTAAAGATGGGCTTGATTGATGATGAGCATATTTCATATTAAAGCCAAACAATTCCTTTAGTAGAAATGGGAAAGCAAATCTGTCTACCAAAAAATCACTTTCCTCTCTGTAATTTCTATAACAGTGGATATGTGTTTTGTGTAATTTTATTTATATGTGGTAAGACTGTGATACCTTTTTGTGTATAAGTATCTGTGAAACTATGTGTACTGATTTAAATATTTCTGTGCTTAATTCAATTGAGCTCAGTGATATTTAAGCACAAATGAGAGAAATAAATAAAAAAGGTTAAAAGAAAATCTAAGAAAAGGAAAAGTGGAATTTTAAAAAAATAAATTTCTATGTCTTATTTCTAATTAGGTGTCTAACTTATTGAATGATTTTGTAGGAATCATGTAATTTTTTTACCTTATGTTTTCCATCGTCCAAATGGGACATTAAGCTGTCTACCTTATGGCGTTGTTGTGAGACTTTTGAGATTACTAATAAAGTTGAAAATGCAGTGAATGTTCAAAACTTGCTCAAAAATGGAAAGTATATCATTATAAACTGATATCATTTCAGATGATTCTGAAAATGCATTGATTATAAAGAAGTTTGGATTATTATAGTTATAATAAATAATTATATATTATGGATTATTATAAATAATCTACAGTATTGGCATTTTTATGCTTTGTGAATTTTGAAAATACATTTATGGTCAAAAACACACAAACAAAAACACTTTAAAGCATAAAAAAAAACAAAACAGGTTTTGCCTCCTGTGTGGTGATGCTATAATAATATCCATATCTTTTCATAGAAAAAACTTATAATTTGTTTGACTCATTTTAAAATACAGGTCAAATACATGAAGCTGACAATAAATAAGGCAGCTTATAATCTCTGTGCAGTCCTGATGGAGTTTTAGAACTACAGTTAGTTTGTAATGCTAGAACAATATTAGACCAAATTGTTGCTGGTGGTTAACCATCTCTCAGTGAAATCCATATGATTCAACAACAATATGAATAACAAAAATATTTTAATAGGAATCTACTCTTTCCACTGAATAAACTTATTTCTTTGTTAATGTATTTATTTCACAGAGAAGGGAAGTATGCAAGGCATTTTTTCATGCAATCATGAAAATGAAAAATAAATTGGAAAGCTAAAATCATAGCTATTAGAGCTGGGAGATACCTAAGAGATTATATACATCAACCTCCTCTTTTGACTGATATGAAATCAAGGCCAAGAGAATTTCTGCAAGGTTATACAGTGGGTTTTAGACAATGGAGGAATGGAATCTAGGAACCCTAATATCCAGTCCAGTGTTTTCAGTATTCTAACGTGAGTTATGCGGGTTCAGTAACCAGGACATTGCAGACCTATGAGTCACTAAAGTTAAATGACTACTACCAAACTAGTTTATCCTGGTATTTATAAATATGTAAACCAAAGAGCATTTCCAATAATTATTGCAGCTTTAGCAGTGAAACTGGGAATTCCCCCTTTCACTTCTGAGTTCCAGAAGTAACACAAGGGATTTTTTCCAACATCAGCTGTGATCCTTTCTATGTGACAAAAACTAGCCCCAATTTCTATTACATTCTAAATCTTTTTCTCAATAGACCTAAATATAATGTTAGCAATTGCAGTTCTATTCCTTCTAATAGGAGGTTGAGGAGGATACAATCAAATGCAACAAAAAATTCTAGCCTATTAATCAATTGCCCACATAGGCTGAATAATCACAATTTTAATTTATAGCCCCACCATCATTATCAAATCTAATAATTTACCTAATATTAACAATAACCATATTTATACTATTCAGTGCAAATATAAGTAACACAACATTATCACTATCCTATATGTGAAATAAATTACCATTACTATCATCTATAATCCTTGTCACTTTACTATCTCTAGAAGAAATGCCCTGCTAACAGGATTTTTACCCAAATGAGCTATCATTCAAGAAATAACAACAACAACAACAACAAAAAACCCTCATTATACCTACCTTCATGGCTATCATAGCTCTTCTCAACCTGTATTTTGATATATATCTAATTTATTCCACATCACTAATGATGTTCCCAACAGCTAATAACATAACAATAAAATTGCAATTTTAAAGCATAAAACAAACCCTCCTCCTACCACCATTCATTATTACCTCAGCCCTATTCCTGCCAATCTCACCAGTAATTTTAATATTAAACTATAAATTTAGGTTAAGTCAGAGCAAGAATTCTCAAAGCCCTAAGTAAATTATACTTAATTTCTGTAATTCAATAATAAGAATTGCAAGATCTTATCTCACATCAATTGGATGAAAAAAAAAAGTGAAGTAAGCTAAACCTACATGGTGTTCTGCAAAGTATATTGTTGGATCAAACCAGTTTTATGATTAAGACAACAAACCACTTAAAACTATATTAAACTATACCTAAGGAAACAATATGAATTGAGTGTAGGCAGAGCTACTAAGCTAGTTAAATAGGCAGATCATAATACTACATGAGAAGTTCCCCCCCCCAGATTCATACCTTAGTCCATCCTTTTCTCTCTCTACATATAATTATGAAGTAATTTAAAGCCTTAATATGATAGAAATAAAATATCCGCACCATATTTTAAAATAAGGTATCAAAAGATTTCAAGCCTTATTAAAACACCAAATACGTGTTTTACTCTTTACTTTTTAAAATTAGAATAATTTAAAAAATAATCCTCATTAGAATATCTGTTTTATAAAAAAAGTCATAGAAGCCCACTAAAATGCAAAAAATAAACAAGTTTTTATTAAGCCACTTTTGTAAATACTTACAGTTAACATTCTTTTACAGGTTTAAATGTATTCCTTGCTTAAAGTTTTAACTATGACTAATAAGAAATGAGGAAAATGACCAGTAATCTCAGTACTTTGGGAGGCTGAGGCAGGCAGATCACTTGAGGCTAGGAGTTTGAGACCAGACTGACCAACAGGGCAAAACCCTGTCTTTACAAAAATAGAAAAATTAGCGGGGCATGGTGGTGAGCGCCTACAGTCCCAGATACTTGGGAGGCTGAGGCAGAAGAGTCACTTGAGCCCAGGAGGCGAAGGCTGCAGGGAGCTAAGATTACATCATTGTACTCCAGCCGGGGCGGCACAGTGAGATTTCGTCTGCCCCACAAAAAGGAAAAGATATGAGGAAAATGAAAGCATGTCACACAATTAAAAAAGAGTAATATGCCTTTGTTTCTACAGTCTTCAAACTGTCAAATGGAGCATTAACTTATCTGCTTCATGATGTTGTGAGGCTTTTGTGTTGAATAATAAAGTCTAAAAGTCAGAGAATGTTTAAAACCTTCTTTAAAAGTGGAAAGCATATTATTGTAAACTGATTTCAGCACCAACAATGCCACACATCTGTTAAGATTATAAAGAAATTTTTATATAGTGTTAGCATTTTTATCATCAATAGTGTTATTTTGTTATTTTGAAAATACTGCTGTTCCTTCAAATTATGTTTAGCATTTTCTGATGAGAAACATACCATACAGCTTGTGCGGTTAAAATTAATTTATTGAAAAAAGAAAAATACCAGATGAATCAAATTAATTATTGATCACTTGATAGCTTTAAGAACAAATATAATCCGACTTCATTTTATTTAATGAATAGTATAACATGTCCAAGAACTCTATAATCAATCTACTTGGAACATTTTTAATGCTATTATGTAGCTCACAATGGAAAATACAAAAAAAAAAAAATGCTACTTAGGGTCAGCATTTAACAAAGTAATGTTTTAATCTATGTCCCAGTCCATTTTATGTTGCTTTAACAGAATACTTGAGAGTGGGTAATTTACAAAGAAGATAGGTTATTTAGCTCACAGTTCTGCATGCTAGAACATTCAAGGGGCATGACTTCAGCATGTGCTTCACTTCTGGTGAGGCTTTTGTGCTCAATCAAAACATGGTAGATAGTCAAAGCGGAAGATGACAAGTACGAAGAAGGACCAGACAGGAGGAGGAAACTCACATTTTAACAGTCTGCTCTTATGGCAAATATTCAATTCCTGCAAGAACTAATCTAGTTTCTCAAGACTGAAAACTCCTTTATTACTGAGAGAACACCACTAAGCCATTTCTGAGTAATCAGCCTCCATGACCCAAATGTCTCCCACTAGGACCAATTTCCCAACATTGCTACATTGGGGATCAGATTTAAACATGTGTTTTGGTGAGGATAAAACATCTGAACCATAGTAGTCTATATTCTCTGAATTATTAAGGTTTAAGTTGGACCGGGCGCGGTGGCTCACGCCTATAATCCCAGCACTTTGGGAGGCCGAGGCGGGTGGATCACGAGGTCAAGAGATCGAGACAATCCTGGTCACGTCTCTACTA